GTATTATTTATTTAGTTATTTTTTTACTGAAAATTTTTACTGCGCTTCGCCCGAACGCTTATTCTCCACCCAAATGTAGCGCTAGCAGTCCTCACCAAATGCCAAAGTTTGATAACTAATTGTTATCAGTTAGGAGTGATTTTCTGACATTTTCAGCGGGAAAATGGCGGCCGACGGAGCTTTCGAATGTATGGAGCGGAAAGGGCGCCTGTGGCGGTCCAGCAACGGTGCCGACGAAGACAACGAAGTTAGTTGTCAGCTCGATCCGGGCGAAGCGACAATAAATAGGACGTCGGTCGCACCATCTCTTCCGTCCTCGACATCGAACGCGCTACAAATCGGTGACCCGGACGTGATGGCGGTCCTGAGCAGATTAGCTGGCTCGACGGGGACTCGATAGTAGGCCTTCATTGGGCCGCTTTTGCTGAAGATGTTGGTGTTAGATGGACCAGCGGAGAAATCCTGAATGTGTGGATACCGAGGAACTCCCGAGCCGGACCCGCAGCACGACCGGATCGACTTTCCCGCTGTCCGCTGCGTCAGTGCCTGACCTCAGAGCCAACCGTACCTGCACGGCTTCCACACGCTGCCTTTAGCCTTTACTGTTCTCTGCTACGTCGCTCCGTTAACACGAGACAGCGTCAACAGCACCCCGCTCTGGTGGATCCACCAACGTTCGTCGCTCCGTCCCCTGCAGCCTGTATAGACCTACAGCCGACGGGTCTAGGGAGGAGGGGAGCGCTATGGTCGTCTAGCGTCAGTGCCAAAAACGAAGACAACAAAGTGAGTCGGCGGAACGAGAATAAATAAAACGTTTGCAACTAAGCTCAGGGTCAGTCGCACTACCACTTCCGTCCTCGACATCCAACGCGCTACAGCGTCAGTTACTGAAGACGGGCAAAAACGGCCACTATTTACTCATTTTCAGAACTCTGGAGCATCTGTACTTGAAAGCATCTGTGCTCAAAGTACTTGAAAGAGTCAGTCGCTGCAATCGAAGGAGGGAGCTTCTTAGTGATGGACGTGTCTGAACATACGTATAGTACACAGTCTGGGTTTGAGCACCGAGCTTGGTTAAACCCATGCTCAGTACTGAAGCGCAGACGGTATTTTTAGGTCTGGATACAGCCTCGTCATTCGCCGAGGTTCCTACGTAAATTGCTGCCATCGGCGCGCTTCTAAAGCTCTCAGCAAGTATATGAAACTCTGCAAGTCAAGTTTATATCTTGGAAGTATTCTTATTGCCCACCTTTGGGATCAACACGCCAACTCTCATCCGCTTCTGTGTCTAGGGACATGCCCGTTTCTGAGGGCTGTTTACGTGGTGATTAGCCAACAATATCATGCCTCCTTATGCATACGGGAGAGGTGTCGCTATCTAGCGTGAGTAACGAGAGACAGGGTCGATAAACGTTCACCTCTAGCTTGATCTCACTTACGATGTCCTACTTTTATGCGCGCAAACGCTTTATTACAGCAGCCCCTCGACACCCTCGACCGCAGCTTCTAAATTCCTTTCGGAATGAATCTAGAAACGAATAAGACTACCTAGCTTAGAAAGCAGGTAAATAAAATTGTAATATATTTATGTATTGATACAAATACCTGCTGCGCCGTTAGGCATTATGCTGGGGGTACATGGATCGCGGACACACGATGAGCATATTGAAAATGCATCCACACACACTAAAATAAAACCAATAAAGAATACATTTCTATACTTCAATTATGCTGTACATAGATTGTGTACAAATAATGAACATACTAAAATTGCATGCACACACACAAAAATAAAAGCAACGAAGATTACATTTCTGCACTTCAACACAGCTCCCTAATCTCTTACAAAAATTAACGTCATCAAAAACTGAGATTTGCTATTCTGAAAGAAAATTCTACTCCCTAATTGTTTTAAGGAAATATTATGAAGAAAAACACTCAGTTCGATAACAAAACTCTGCCACTTTTTTCAAGTGATCCAATCTTACAAATCTATGATCCGGCTCTAATATATACAAACTTCGTTGAATTGCTGTCCGTCCATGATAAACTGTGTAAAAAAAATGTGAACCTTAAACAGCCTCTCCGATGTCTAAGAGTGACCCAAACTAATATATCTTCAATTTCTGAACAACTTGTGTATGGGTTGTAATCTCCTGTCACAAACCTTAACGCCTGATTTTATAACTTCTCTTTCTAACTTTTGTACTACCTAATTCTGCGGCGAGTCCCAGATGACACACGCCTACTGTAGAATCAATTTGATAAAATAAAAATATAACGTCTGTTTCACACTGCGTGACGTATTTTTAAAACTCCTACGGACAATGTACAGATTTTACTAGCCTTGGCAAGAGCATAATCAATCTGATCATTCCGTTTTAAATTAGACGAAAGATAAACCTCCAGGTACTTATAGCTGTCTACACGTTCCAGTATGACATATACAGTGCGTATGCAGTTGGGCGAGCTTTACCACGTGAAAAAAACATATATTTACGCCTACTGCTGTATATGCTGCAGTAATTACAGCTGCATAAAAATGGAAAATTAAAAACAAAGTGCTGCATTTAAAAAGTAACGCAGTGTATACACATCATTATACACTTTTCTACCAAATTTGAGTCCCGCTGATGTCACCGGATTGTGATAAAATTAAATATATTTATTATTCTTTGCCCACCTTATAAAAAGTTCTCATTATACCGCGTGCATATTACACCAGGTCACATTTCTGCATTTGCTAATGCAAGTCTAATAATCATATTAAAAAGAGATATATTCCACTACCAGGTATTATTAGTTTGCTGCACGTCACTAATGTGTGAAGACTGCGCTTTAATCACGGCCATTCCAAGAAAAAGGTCACTCGAAGCCCATCCCCGCGGACTGGTAGAAAGCCAAGTGAATCTATATTTATCCAGAGAAATCATTTTACAGCAGTTATCTGTAATGCGAATCTTGCAACTACTGGTGGTTCAAGGTAATTTAGTTACAATTGTAAATTCGTTTAGTTAAAATTGAAGAATTGCAATTACAATATATATTTTTAATTTCCTCGAAAACACGTGAATTGCGAAAGGACACCTTTTTTTTACGAGTGTACTGCCATGAAACGTACTGTATTATCTGGACTGCAGTCCACGGACTATGCATGTTTAAAATTTCAAATTTTACGCGGTGCGGAATGTCTCGGATTTGTCTTTTCAAGGCCGTTTTCACAAACGACCTTCAAACAAACGAACTTGAAAATACCTTTTCATCAAGCAGGCATTGTTTTTAAGTGTTATGTGTATACAACTTTTATGTGTGCACTTTTTACTCTGCACCAGTTGCGGACTATCAAAGGAAAAGCCTTTTCCTTCAGCCGATAGTTTACGCCGGCTGTGAACTGCAGTCTAAACAAACTTTTGCACACAAAAATGTTATGCTTTCTTTTACACCCATGTCCCAATGCACACTGTGCTACTGAAATACATGCAAGTTGCAACTCAATATTTTTTTTTCATATTAAATAACTTAAATAGAAAAAAAATATTGAGTAGTTTCATTTAATTGCAGAATTTATACTAAAAATAATTAGTCCATCGCCTCGTGGGACAGGCTTGAACATATATGAAATAAGTGAACAAAAACCTCAGTGTCCAGGGGAAGCTGAATGACGAATTCATATTGCGGTACTTTTGTTTCAAGTACCACATTCAAAAGCGACTCCGACGAACGAACCACTGGATTTATTTTGCCTACTCTTCTCGTCTCGCAGTTTCGTTCACTTCCACGTCTGTTTCGTTTTTCATTAATCCGACGCAACACCTGGAAAGGGTACGGACATCCCTCAGCCCTCTTGCTTTACCCATCGCTGCACCCTACTGGACAGTCCTGGTCACGTGGGAGTGCGACGCCGACGCCGACGCCATCTTCCTTCCTCCAGTTGAGAACAAACACATAACAAAGCCGGTACGTACAATGTATTGCTATCGTCCTGTTTTTTTGTTTTTTTTTTTTGGTTTTGAAATCGCAAAATTCTGAACCTATATGAACCGCTTCTTCTGTTCATGGGTACTCCTTCACGCACCTATACAGCGGACTGCTCTAACGCGCATAAAAGACGGTGGGGAGCTCCGTATTTCCCGAATGGTATGTCGTAAAATATCTCAATGCATGGTTTTAGAATTTTTTTTTCTTTTATATATACAGATTTGCACACGCGGATCCCACGTTGTGAAAGCCGAAACTCTCCAGAATTGGCTGAGGGACAGAGCGCGCCCCAGTAGTACACTTATTCTCTGCGAATATCCGTAGGATGTCCTTGGGATGTCTTAGCGTTCTAGGATGTCCTATGAACGTCCAAAAACATCCCGAGAACGTTAAGACAGCCTAAAAACATTCTAAGGTCGCCCTAAGGACATGACAAAACAAGGTGTGCTACTAGGGTTGAGTGCATTTAATTCTTTCAAGACTGACGTAATTTTCTTATTGGGACGTAAATATGTAATAGGCATTGGAGCATAGAAGCGGCACTTGATTGCTCCTTTTTAAATTAGGGGTCAAGCGCTCTCCAAGATACAAACCCAGTGCTACGTTTTAAAGGACGTTATTTTTTTTAATATATTTTCTTTTTCGCTTTTTTTAATATGTTATGAGACGTTTCCTATCTATCACACCACCTTGAAATTTAGCGTAGATCAATCGGAAGTACTTGAGCATAGTCCTATTAGTATAGTTTTATACATAAAACGCAATCGTACGGATACTTCCTGATAATCGATTAAAAGCATGGGTAATATCAATAAAAAAATGTAAAACAAATTTAAAACAACATTCTGCCAAAAACCTGGAACCCCAACAGCCAAGCCGACAGCGGAATCATAACCGGGCACAGTGTAACCAACCCACGCCCTCTTTCAAACAGCACGGCTAAAAACAGCGGTCGCCTTACCGGAGCGCGGCAACGTTGACCCTCCAGCACTTGGAAAATGCGACGATAGAGGGAGCTCTCCTTCCACCAACTGCCGTTATCCTTCGAGGAGGAGGAAACGCCGCCGTCCCGCTTATGTCCGAGCCTGCAACAGGATCCCAAAAATCCTCTCGCGCTTCAGCGGGAGTGTTGTCGTGAGTACCGTGTCGTCGGCTACCGACTGGATTGGACTACTTCGAAAGAACTCCACTTTCCTCCAAGTGTCCGGTGCGGCCCGTCTGCTCGGAGTAGCGGTGAGTTCACTCTGCCTTTTACGGGGTTGGGCCGTCGGCAGGCTTTCCGACGACTTTGAACAGCGGGCAGACTTGAAATCGGAAACGTGCACTGCTGGAAGGATGCCCCGACGATTTCCTGCAGATAGGAAGGCCGCTTTCACGGGTTGCTGTCATCCCGCACCGAGATGATGAAGGACTCGACTGCTAGTATTTCTTCTTGTGAGGAAATGAAGGGAATAGGAAAAGTCGCGTTAATTTTGAAATTGTAACTCTGTTTACTGTAGAGTTTGAAACGTTACATATGCGTGTATATGAAGCTTTGCAGCCCATTTCAATAATCTTTTGTAACTGTAGTTAATACGATATTTGAAGCTCTACATTCATATAATTGGAGCCATTTTTTGGTCGTTTGGGTTGAACATAAGGGATAAGGAAAGGTTCATTTGAAAATATCTGGATAACTGTCTAGGTAAATCGAATTTCCACATGAGTCGCCGATTCTGAAGATGCAATGATTTGTGAAAGCCTGTCGATTTACATTAGAAAGAAACTGAACGAAAAGATATGTGCCTCCCTTAGCTTACCTTTCTTGAACGAGTACCTCACCTCTTGAATAGAAAAAAACTTGATTAGAATTCTCAGAAACATATTCAACTAGAACATTAGATACCTACGCACGACCCAATCACTCGGTGCTTTAATGTGTCAAAAAATCATCGGGCATAGGGTGCAGCAAGGCGTACGCGTCTGTCAAATGTTAGTTACATCGAGCCATTTTTGCTGAACGGTGTCCTTCCTCCCACTAGCTATGGGATCCAACTCTTAGCTTTGCACAATCGCCGTTTTTGAGCTCGCTATTTGTTCGCTTTATTTTCTCCCGTGATCGTGTGATGTCGACAGGGTACCAACTACGAAGGGTGGCTTCATCCCAAGAACAATATTGAGACACTCTCTCAATCTAAACCCATCAATTTCCGTGTTCAAATCCCGAAGGGCTTGATCCGCGATAAAGGGGTCGATGCCAAAGCTTTATTCGAGGCACCTGATCGGAACGCCTATCAGACAACACCTTGCTTCGTCATTCGTTCCTCGGCATTTGTTATCGGCTTAATAAACCTAAGAAACGCCCCGCGTTTATTTTTAAGTTGTCAGTCACTGTAGCTATTGGGGCTTAGCAACTGAACCTCCACCTTGAAAGTTACCCCAGTCAGCCTTCTTGCTGGCTCCTTTTGTGTCCGGCACACAACCGCCTGGTGTGCGTGCTCGGAAGGCGAAATTTTGCGCGTCCTAGTTTCGGGTCCGTTCCCTTGTGTTCCACTTTTTTACGATCGGGTACGTTCTGTTTTTACCTGTTGGCATCGGTTTGCACGTTGCTGTTTTTTTTTTTCCCTGCGTTGTTTTGATCGACGGAAACAGCAGGCCGCGTCGAGGGTTGTCGTTTGTTCAGAACGACAACGATCATTACGGGTGCTCTTCGGCACTCATATCACTGTTGCGCTTGCTCAGTCGTATATGAACTAGCCCCCAAATGAGCAGCAAACATTTTTTTGTTGTTTTTCCGTGGGCAAAACATAATTATTTTTGGAGCGACCTGATGGGTCCTCTCCAGTGTCAGGTGATAACAAACTTGCCCCATTGTTTGTGTCTGACCTTGTATGGCGAAACTTCTTCAGGCTAGTCGAGACCTTTAGCCATTTAGCCAGTGCAGCGCAGTACGACTGCTAGTTAAACTTTGGCACCCTATAGCCTCGGAGGTGCCTCACGCTTTTGCGATACACAACCGAACTCCTGTACGCTAACCATCCAGATCCCAATGGGGCAGCGATTAAGCCCAGCCATGATCCCTGGCTTTTGCAGCGGGAGATTCCCCTCCTTGTGCTCCGAGCTGCTGAAGGCAAAGCTAACAGATCTGGCAGCACCTACCCCGTCGAGAAAATTAAATCACCGCCAAGAACAAACTACTAAAAATAGACTATCTGCAGTCTCGACTCAAATTCCCAATTCAAACATCTAAGTTAAATTAGAGCTTTTCGATGGTCAGGATAGTTACAATTCGTAATCAGCTGGTGTGACAGAAGAGTCTGAAAAGTGTTTTCAGTAACATGTAATTGTCTCGTCTGAGAGAAGAAGCACTTGTTTTATGTCCTTGTGTGAACGACACTTATGCTGTCTGCATTGCGAGCGAGCGCTTTCATCCAGCGAGTTTTCAGATGGTAATCAACCATCGCCATACTTGAAATTTGATTCTGCTACATGGGAACCGCGTCTCGCTAGAGCGACCGACAACACGCACCGCGCGCGGAGGCGTATCAAATGCTAGACATAACAGAGAGGCGACGAGCGAGCTGGTGAACTTTCACCGTCGTGCAAACGCAACATGAATTTACAAAGCAAATATACGGCGCCCTCAAATGTCTGCGTGCGTCGTTCAGTTATATTATCGTATTCCTCTGTACTGAGTCCTCACGATGGTGAAAAATTAATTATTTGGTATATGACAAAATAATATAAATGCGGATGTTCTCAACTCCAAAATGAAGCCGGACACTTAATCATCATTAAAATAAACTCATGTTTCATTTGGCTAAAAAGGATGCAGGAAGGTGATTCCATTCGATAGAAGTCTGGAGCATAAAAAGGGCATATCTCAAGCTTTTACCTGATAATTTGCTAGCGATGATACGGAAGGAGGGTTCTTAAAACAGCGTGTGAGGAAATATTTGGTTACAATAATAACACAATCATAAGGTACGACTTGGGTAACCAAAAGTTTATTTTTCTTTCGTCCGCAAACCAAAAACATGTTACGAGTTACGTAATTATGCTGTGAACGGCTCTTCGAAGTAAGTCGTCGTATCGGCGACTTTTCATAGTTGTCATTTCGGTATTTGCATAACGTCTGACAGGACAGATTTTTTCAAAGCTTAGTCAAACATTTCTGAAAACCCTGTTTTAATATAAATGTTTTCTTTTTTATATGGACAGGTACTTATAGAATGTATTCGAAGATGTGGACACAAAATAAACTGCTTGCAGGTTTGCTCGCCAAATCTGCGGATGTTCTAGTGACCAGTTATATTTTTGTGTACCTGAAGGACTTGGCTGATTTCGTTGGTTCATTTGTAAATATTCGCTGATTTTTGGAGGATTACACTACTACAGTATAATCCAAAAATAACTGTCAGTTATGACTCTCTAACATACATTTTTACGTCAGTACGAACAACGGGACATGGAAGATAATTTTAGGAAAATATTTATGTTTCAACAAAGCAAGATCGTTATTTCAGTGTCTTTACTCAATAATGCTCCATTAAACCCTACCGAATATTTCGAATTATGCGTAATAATGTCGGACGATATAAGTTAAACTAAGTTAACTCAAACGCAAATTGGCTGTGATTGTTAGTAAAATATATTGAATTGCGGCACGTCCTAAACTTTTGAAAACTATTTTTTTGTTTTTCTAGAATATAAAGTTGAATAACATTTGTACTACAGCTTTGAGAAACTTATCTATCAAGAGCCCAAAGGGGTGAAATGACATCTGTCAGGCAAAATGCACAAAACCTCCTGCGTTGTCTTACAACGATGCCACTTTGATGCAAGGCCCACACTTCCAGGAGAAAATAAACGAGCGTATTCAAACACTAACCGGGAGGGTTTGTTGTGAAAAATGTGGTTTGTAGCACACTGTCTCGGAACACGTGCAGGTAGCTAGCCATGATACACTAGCTCGACGTAAAAAGAGTGACTCGATTGAACCTAAATTTATTTTTTGCACAACAAAGCGTCTAAGTATTCTAAAGTTTTATTAGGGCTTTATTGGAGACATATCTTATGTTTGCACTCCAGGGCAAATTCGGTTTCAAAAAAGCCTCTAAGTATTTGTACTCCTTTACACATTCTAGCAAAAATCGACCCAGCACTATAGGTAAACTCTGTTGGTACTTTTTTCCGTTATGGTCATGTATACATTTTTTTTAATTTCCATTTGCTATTCGTCACACTAGCTTGTCAGTTTCTGTAAATGCTCTATCAATGTTTTCTGATCATCGGATGTTTGAATTTCTGCATACATATTTGTGTCATAGGCAAAATGTTTCATTTTAACATCAGCTTGAAATCCTTGGCTCATGTCATTGATATATAGGATGTATAGCAGCGGCCCAAGAAGAGACCCCTGAGGCATTCCTGATATAATGGATCATTTCTTTGACATTGTAATATTCAACTTCACGAACTGCTCTCTACCAACCTGATAAGCTACAAGACAGGTCAGAATTTATCGCTCTTAAAAATATATTTGAATTTACGAAGTAGCTCTGGATGAAAAAAAATTATAAAATACCTTTGCAAAATTTCAGAACCCCATTTCTATGTGTCCGCCCTTGTCGAGGCATGAACTTAGTTTGCGGGTTAAATCTATTAAATTGTGTTACTGTTGAGCGAACTCGCCTAAAACCTGTTAAAACAGGTTTCGAGGGTGCGCTGTTTCCTTGTCAGTCGCCTAAAACCATACTGATTATTTCCTAGAAGGTTATTTTGTCCTTCTCTAAAGTTATAATGTGTTTAACGATAACGTATTCGAGGATTTTACAACCTGCACTTGTTAGTGAGATTGTACGATTGTTTTGTATATTTGCTTTTTCTCCCGACTTTGGTATTGAAACTATTTTTCCAGACTTCCAGGCACGTGGAAGACTCCCGCAAGATAGTGATTTCTTACCTATAGGGGAATAGTAAAGGCCAAACCAATCCGCATATTTTTTTTAATATGTTTCATTTCCATCAGCTTAAGGCGATTTCTTAAGGTCTAAGTTTAGAAGCAAATGAAACGTGCCCTTTGCTAATTTTGCCTATATTGCTGATGTTTCATCATCATTAACAAGGCTAGAAATGCCTCTTCTTGCAGGGGACAAGTACCTCCGAAACTTTGGGGGGTATGATCTTGTAAAATTGTGGAGAGTAACATGAATGTAAGTTTTCTTGGTATTGATTACATAATTTATTTAGTT